TCAGAGGCCGGAAGAGGGCATTGGCCCCTAGAACTGAGGTTAGGGTACCTGTGAGCTGCCAGGTGGGTGTTGGAACGCAAATCTGACTCCTCTGCACGAGCAAAAAGTGCTCTGCCTGCTGAACCATCTCTCCAGCCTGAACCTGACAGACTGCATATGCTTTCCACTTCTGTACTACACATGCTCCCTCACATGGTCAACTCAAACTTCATCTAGCAGGCACGCGAGAGCCATTTCTACCGTTTTACAATGGATTTGCTCTACGCTTTCATGGATAGTATTGAGAAACAATGGCTTATACATGAAACTGTTAACTTAAGAAGCAGAGTCGATTTATAAGCACCTTTCTGCTTACTATTTGTAGCTTGTTTTTAATTTCATTTTAAAAATTACATTACAGCCAAATAGTGGTGGTGCACGCCTGTAATCCCAGCACTTGGGAGGCAGAAGCAGGCAGATTTCTGTGAGTCTGAGGGCAGCCTGATCTACAAAGTGAGTTCCAGAACAGCCAGGGCTGCACAGAGAAACCCTGGCTGGAAAAAAGAAGCAAACCTAAATTACATTATTAACACACTTATTCGGGGGGAAATGCACGCCACAGTGCACATGTGGGAGACAAAGTCAGTTCTCTCCCTTCCACCGTGCGGGTCCCAGGGACTCAAACTTGCGTCATCAAGCTTAGTGACAGGCACCTCCACCCACTGAGCTACATGTTGACCTTTACAGTTTGGTTTTCAAAATAGTTTTTTTTTTTTTTTTCCCTGAAGTCAAAAGATGATAGTTTTCTGTCATATGCAGAAGCAAAAAAACACAATCTGAAAATACAAAGAGGCTAACAGGGAAGGAGAATAGAGGGACTGAGAAGAGGCCAGAAGACAGAACTTATCAGAGTATATGCGTCCACATACAGAAGTGTTGTGAAATCCATTAATCAATTTGAGCTAACAATTTGTAATCAAAATAGAAGAACAGAGAAGCTGGGGAAATGGCTTAGTGGGTAAACTGCATGCCAGACTAGATGCAGACCTGGGTTTGAACCCCCAAACTCACATGAAAGCCAGGTGCAGCTGTACACATCTGTACTGCCAGCAAGGTGTGGGACAGTGGTGGGAGAGCAGTGAACCCCATAGCTCTATGGATAACGCTCTGTGAAAGAACAGGGGATTGTTTTCTTCACAAATGACAATGTATTATAGTCATTGATCTTTTCAATTATCTCAAGTGTATACATTAATGTATATAATGTTGGAAACTAAGAGCCTAATTACATATTACATATTTTTCAAGACTTTTTTTTTTTTTAAGAGGCAGAGTCTCGCGCAGTCCTCAAATGTGGTATGCAGCGGAGGATGACCTGGAACTTGTGAGCCTCCCACCTCCATTTCCACAGGGCAGGGACTGCCGGGGGTAAGGCGTTCTGGGGATCAGAGCGGGGCTTTGGGCATGAAGGCAAGCTCTCTAGTAACGGGTGTGTCTCCTGCCACCGTGCGTTAGTTGTTCCCCAGGATCTAGCCAGCTATGTCTACAAACCTGTCTTTTTGTATTTACTGGGACACAGTAAGTCATCTATGTGGTGGTTCATGTCTGTATTCCCAGTACTTGGGTGGTAAAGGCAGGAGGATCAGAAGTTCAAGGTCATCCTTACCTACATAGCAAGTAAGAAGTCAGCCTGACAATACATGCTACCCTGCCTCAGAAAAGCAAAACTACTCCTCCAAAAAGTGTATTTCTCTGGTTTCTATGTTTGGCTATCTCTAAATCTTAATTTTTATCTTACTGGTTGGTTATATAATTTAAAGTTATTGTCTAATTGTTCTTGGTATGTTGGTGGAAAAAACACTGCTATCATAACCATGTGCCTTCGGGGCACAGCAGGTAAAGACATCCGCCGGAACACCCGAGGACTACACTTGGAGCCTGGAACCAACACGGTAGAAGAGAACAGACTCCCACGGGTAGCTTTGACCTCCGACCTCCACTTGCTGCTCCCCACGGTGCATGCACACGTGCGTACAGCGGAGCACGCAGGTGTGTGCCTGTGGAGGCGTGTTCTTCAAGCTCAGCCCTCCTTATTCTCTTGGATGAGGTCTCCCCCTGCTCTGGGGCTCACAGATTAGCTGTCTGGCCAAAGAGCCCAGGGACCCACCTGTGTGCGCTGCCCTACCCCCAGGGCCGAGACTGCGTATCACCACCATTCGCTCAGCGCTGCACGTGGGTTCGGGGGAGGAACGCAGGCCAGGCAAACACCTTACCAACTATGCTCCTGCTCCTGTCACAGTTCTAGTTTTAGACTCGTTTCTTGAAAACACACAGAGTCAATCCAGATTCCATTGTGATTTATCATACTTTTATTACCTCATTTACTAAAATCCATTAACGTATTTTAAAAGTCTATTTTAAAAAAAACTTGAAGTTTTATTTTTATTCACATATAGTTTGTCTTTTGTTATGTGACAAAATATTCTTTTAATTAAGTTCACTTAAATCATTACTTTGAAAAAGCTGAGGTTTATTTAACGTGGGACTTAAACCAAAAACTTTAAAATGATAGGCAACGAGAGACAGCCCAGCTGACAGAGAGCTTGCCAAGCCTGAACAAAACCCTGGGTTTGGTCCCAGCACCATGTAAGCAGCGTGCAGTGGTACATGCATAGAATCACAGGAGTGGAGAAGTAAAGGATCAGAAGTTCAAAATCAGGGCTGGGAGATGCTGCAGAGCTTCAGTACTTGGCTGCCCAGCCATGAAGACAGTTTGGACCCCCAGAAACTCACATCAATGCCAGCTGGGTGTGACAGCCCACTTCTAACTCTAGTCTCCAAAGGGAGACTCAGAGCCAGCTAGCCAACAAGACAAGCCACACAGCAGGCCCTAAGTTTGACTGAGAGGCCCTGCTTTAATGAGTAAAGCAGAAGACACTAGAAGACGATTCCCAACATGAATCTTGGGCCTCTACCCCATGAGAAAGGGAACATATGTATGTGTACACATACATGAAAAATGTGCATACCATACATATGTGAAAAAGAAAAAAAGGTCAAGGTCACCTTCAATTACACTGGATGTTTGAGGCCACCCTAGGCTATACAAAAGCCTGTTGCAAACACTAATAGTAAACTTATGTGAGTCTTCATGTAATTCTAGTTTCCAAATCACCTGCTTAAGGAGCTTTTCTGAAGGCAGTAGGCATTGCTTTCCTCTGGCTGCATGCTCCCGAAATGCAGAGACCATGCTCTATACACTGGCATGAATTGTGCTGGGGTGGCAGAATTTGAGGGTGGAATGTACTTGGCAAAAGATGGCAGCTATGCCAGACTGACCGAGGGTGGCATGGTATTTTGTCCTGTTATTCTCTGGTACCTCGGATAATTGGCTAGTTTGCAAGAACATGGGTTTTGCCAAAGTCTGCAACTTAAATACCCCCATAGGCCTGCTCATTAACCACATATACTACTTATCAGATCAACAAACAAGTCATAGTAACTAACATGCAAGGCACTCAGACACAGGTTGTACTAAAAGATAGCCTTAGAAATAATAATAAAAAAAAGATTATAACTTCCCTATATATTTTTTTTATTTATCTACTTGTTTGAGACAGGGTCTTAAATATCCCAGGTTGCTCTTCAACTTGTTCTGTTGCTCAGGACAACCTTTATCTTCCTGATCCTACTGGCCTGCCTCCCCATTGCTGAAATCCTATGCCACTATGCCTTGTTTATGAGCTGCTAGGGATTAAATTTAGGGTCTTATAGCAATGGAGTCACACCTCCAGTTCCTCCATAAAGCTTCTGAAAGATTTAGTTCATTTTCTAAGTGTTTATTGTGTACATGTTTTATCTGCATGTATGCGTGGGCACTACATGTGTGCCCGATGCCTGAAGAGACGAGAAAGCTGGGGATTCTTGAATCCCCAGGAACTGCAATTACACATGTTTGTGAGCCGCCTGCAAAATCAGCAAGTGTTCTTAACCACTGAGCCATCCCTCCAGCCCACAAAAGTAACCCTTTAAGACAGGTTTCTGACAGCCTATGAGGAAGCGGCCATGAGCAGCGATCCCATGGGTGCTTCTTGCTATTGCTTGTTTTGTCACGTGCCGCACACCTGCCTGTGTTTCTGACACCCACATAGCAGAGTACTTCATCCACTGAGATGACTGGGGCCTTGCTGAACTCATGGAAATTTTAGGGTTTGCCAAGTACTAATCATGCTTTTCCGATAGCTCCAGTCTATATCCGGGAAGTAGCATGAAACATGAGGAGGCTTACATAGTTAGTGTCCTTGTACTGAAAGGAGCCGTGACTTCTGAAAAGTGACTTGCTATGGAAGATGTACAAAAGTCCACAAACTAGAGTTTTACTCAGGGTGACCACGGCAGTGCCTGCTATATGCAACTGTGCTATCACGAGTCCTCAAAGAGGGCTGGGAACAATGGCCTCCCCGCCACTCTTGGGGTTATGTCACATTAGTGAGAGGGCACTGGTCACAGTTAGTTACCAATGCTTCAGGCGACCATCATTATTACAATGGTCCCTACTCAAACAGCCGGGTTAGCAACCAGCAACATAAGCACTAAATGATTCTGCCTGTGGTGTTACTGGGATATGGTGAGAACAGAAGACAGTCCAAGCGTGTCTCAGTCACTGTAAAAGACCACGTCCTAATGAGGAAGGAACAAAGAAAAGACGATATAAAGAGAACCCATTTCAAATGCCCACCAAGGTCTGGACAAAAACAGGCACATTACTAGATGCCTTAAGAGTCTCTAATGTCACTTGGCTTTGACACAACAGCAAAGCCTCAAGCGCCTTTGGTATCGGATATGAAATGAGTGCACTGCCTCCTCTTAGAATCACCACCCGGCTATGCAAGTGGACATAAACCCTCCCCATAATACACACATGTAAAGTTAAGAAGGCAAACCCACTCGCCTCCACCAGGCCTCCTCAGAGCAGAGAAGATGGTGCTCAGTGAGGCGAGCCGCGCAGAGGGGCTCCTGACCTGCAGAATGAGGACGAAGTAGTCTACGGGCTTATTCCGTTGGTAGAGGTAGCACTCGGGGGCTTTCTTGTTCTTCTCATCATACTTCAGCTCCTGGATGACATTGGGGTGCTTTAGCAGCCTTAGGAGGATCTTCTCTGACATCTGGGATGGGCTAAATGCTTCTACTTCTATAGACACAAACACAACTTGACATTACACTTCAAAGAAGGGCAAAGGCCATGCTAGCAGTTGAGGTGCTTAGAGCAGAAGAACCCTTGACAACAGAATGATACAACACAGGTGAACCAGACTTCCGTGTGGTGATCCACTGGGGTCAGATTACCTGGGAGAAATGACAACGGTGGGATATTCATGTCTGGTCCTTTTTATACTTTCCTTTTCAACCTGTGGCTTGAACCATCGGCTTCTATCCCATAGGGTGCCCTATATTTCTGATTGATGGGAAGGATAACCTAGCGGCAGCACACCCCTCCCTGAATGCCAGGACACCTTTCAACTCAAGCCACAACAGTCCGCCTGTCACCACCAGCCAAAGGAGGAAGCCACGGTCAGGAAGCATGGAGGGTGGGTTAGTACTGGGCGTAGAGCTGGGCTCCACCTCTTGCTCTCCCACACCACTCTCCCGAGAAATTCCAGGGAACAACCAAGGGAGAGATTCAGAATAAAAGCAAGGCCGTGCACGCATCAACATGCACTCCGACTCGACAACCAAAAAGGAAATGGTGGTCGGCACTGAAAAAGACAGTCATTTCATCTAAAATAACAGAAAAATCAAAGCTGCAGACTCCAGGGTGCTAGTGTAAATGTGGACTTCATGGTCCATCCGAGGCAGAGTGGGTAACACTGAGTTTTAAGTGTGATTCTTCCACAGGAAACAACAACAGTACCAGAATAGGAAGATAATGATAGCAAAATATTTTTAACTTATTTTTTTTAATTAGATGCTATATACAAAAGCTACAAAATTCTGGATTCTGTGATGTTTTCATAGTAAGACAATACATTGCAGGGAATTTGGAAAATACAGAAAAAGAAAGAAAATAAAAATCATCTGTAAGCTGACTGCTTAGATAGCCATTCAGAGCAAGATGGTGAGTATTTCTTTCCAGTGCTTTGCCTAGGCATATGTGCCTGTGTACCTCTGTGTATATGCATACACAGACCCACAAGTGTGGTCCTGGGATACACACACTCTGATGTCCAGGGACTAAGGGTCCTACTAAACAGGAAGTTATGGACACTTTTCCATTAATGGGAACAGTGAGCACATCCATGTATCTGACAGTGGGTGACCTCCTGCCACGGGTCGCTGCTGAGCTTTCAGGGCACTAGTATAAACGCACTGCATCTGGTTAAAACTCACTGGCCCATCTTGGAGACAGATGTCTTCTACAGCCTCTGGGAGCTTCCAGATTCTACCCACGCCTTCCATGGCCAACAGAGCGTACCCTTCACCTTAGAGGGCCATTCGAGGATGTGAGAGGGTCAGTCAGTCTCTGAGATCTTTCAGCCTTGACCACTTGGAAGCAGTCAATGCTGGCTGGCCCAGTGGCTTTAACCTTGTAAACATTTGCCTCTGGATGGGGACCCCAGTTAATAAGCTGATTTGAAGATGCCACCAGGAAATCCAGGCCAAACTCAGTAAAGCTTTCATTTCATCAAAACCATAAAAGATAAGGATTTAATTCTGGACGCCTGTGTTTCTTCTTTGTAAGTCTTAGCGTGACCACCTGCGTGACCACTGGTGTCCACCTGTTCTTCCAAGGCAAGCTGAAGAGAGAATTACTCAACTGTCCAATCATACGAAGTGGTGCCTGGCTTGCACTGTCAGCCTCCTCCGCCAGCTGGCTCGCCCGTGGGGCGTAGCTGGAAGGAGGCGACCTGGCCTACTGTACACATGCAGTGCGCCACTAACATTTGTCCTTACCTTTCAGACCAATTTTAAGTTACTGGTCCACCCCTGGCAAGTGTCTCAGAGGGTTCATGCCGACACTGAACACAGGAGAGGAGAGAATTTAAAGAGAACAAAACAAAACAGAACAGAAACAAAACAAAAGAAAAAAACAAAACACAAAGTGGCATTACTTGTCACCCCATTTCCCAGCCTCCACCCCCAGCCCTCCAGTCAGCATGGTGAGGAAGGCTTTAGGGCCTGTAGATCTCATACTGTGATAAGCACACTTGCCTGTTGCTAGGAAACGGTGCATGGCCAGGAGAAGCTGCGGTGATATTTTAACCTTCATCTCGCTGTCTGTCTGCTTAAAGGCAGAGAAATCTTGCTTTCTTTCACGGTGGGCCACTTTCTTTTTTGTTCTGTTATCAGCTAGGATGGAAATGAGGAAAGAGAAGACAAAATCAGGGCTCATTATTGATGAAAGAAACAAAGCACACTGTTTTGAAAGGAGCTAGAATCCCTTCTGGGACCAGTAGACATCATGGAAATCTCACAGAAGGGACAGAGAGCATAGGGAATGGCTGGGTGTGCAGTTGCCTTAGAGAGCTCCTACAGGATATGACTGGACAGACAGGACAGAATCACACAGCAGCAGACTGGCCCTCGCAAGTGCTACCAACCCAGTCCTGGGAGGAAATGCCACAGGCTACACCTGAAGGAAGTTGTCTCTGCCTTGTAGAGGGCTTTTCAGCCTCAGGTGAAAGAAAAGAAATACACAAACAAGACTCCTCAAGAAGAAGCCTCACTCCAGGAATGCCCTGTTCAACATCTCTGCTTCATTCCTGCCCCAGACTATGAGATGTTCAAGGTCAGGCAAACATGGGTGATTTGGGAGGAATGAGCCAGTCCCCTCTGCAAAAGGCCAGAGAGGAAAATACCCAGGCTCCAGCTTTGCTGCCGACTCTGAGCTGCTTCTCTGCAAAAGCAGCTGTGTGTAAATGAACGAGCACAACAACATTTATGGAAATTTCACTTTTTGTTTAATTTCTACATATCACAAAGTAATTATTTTTCTGGTGATATTTCTCTTAGTCATTAAAAAATAATGAGAAGCCATTCTTGCCTTGTGGGCCATATAAAATCAGGTGGCAGACATTCATGGAATATGATTTGCCAACCTCTGATCTAGTAGCAATCTCCTATAAAGCCATTTTTTAAGGATAAAGTGCTGATTAAAAAGAAAAAAGAGAGAGGGACGAACATGACAAGACCACAGTTGTGTATGATGGCTAACACCTGTCACTCCAGCACTTAGAAAGCTAAGGAAGGAAAATTATGTATGGTCAAAGCCAGTATAGGGACAGCATGAAGCTCTGTTTCAACACCTGTCCCCTTCCCTGCCCCCCCCAAAAGAAAGGAGAAAAACAAATAAACAAAGAACAAGGCCCCAGCTGCTTTCTCTGTCCCCAAGAGTCAGCACTGCTATCTGCCCAGGGTAAAATATCAATGACTAGGGGCTTATACTCAGATCGCAAATTATTTTGAAAATCACAAATTATAAGCCAATATGAAACTTAGAAATAGTTCTCCAATGGAAACTAGCTGTTACCATGGCTGACCTCTCACCTAGATTGAGACTAACCCGTAAGTCACAAGTTCAGCGCTTCATACCAAGAGGTCATGTCACGCAACACTTCTCCATAAAATGAGTCAGTACACCGAGAGTTTAGTAAACATTTAGTAACATTTCCATTAAAAAAACATATCCAAGATTTCATGAACATTCATATTGTCTTCCCAATGGCAAGGACTACCCCAGGGGAAAGATCTATACAGAGATACATCAACCTGCACGAAAAGGGGTCTGTGACATGGCTGGCTCAGTGTGAAGCGCTTGCCTCCAACCTGAGTTGGGTCCTTGGAACCCACATAAGGCCTGCACATGTGGGCTCACATCCATCGTACAGGATCATAAAAGAAGGAAAGAACAAAAACAATAATATTCTCTACTAGGAAGTCTCCAACTGCCTTCTAAATATCAAAAGCATAAAACAGCCAAGAATACTATACAGATGTAAGGGAAACAAGGGCACATATTTTAAAGATAATTCTTAACAATTTAAAAGTTTTTCATTCATTAGGTGCTACAAAATCTTGGAGGTGTTAAAATGTGTAATGTTCCACTGTAAAAAGACTAGATAAAAGTCACTTTTTTTGAGCAAGGCGTTCCTGGAATGCTGCAGGGTACTAAAGGAGCTCAAGTCCACAAGTTGTTTCAAAGCTGAGAGGATGAACAGAGTCCAGGCGTCCCTTTCCTGCCTCAGGAACCTTGGGCCCTCCTCGGCATAACTAACTTTTCAAAGAGCCTCATATAGGGGTTGGAGAGCTGCCTCGGTGGTTGAGAGCACTGCCGGCTCTTCCACAAGTCCCAGGTTCAGTTCCCAGCACCTACATGGCAGCTCAGAACCATGTATACCTCCAGTCCCAAAGGACCTAAAGCCCTCTTCTGGCTTTCTAGGGTACTGCATGCATGAATGTGGTGCACAGACACACATGCAGGCAAAATATCCATACACAAAACAAATTTTAAAAAGAAAGCCTCATCTGATAAAAGTGGGGCTGAGGGTGAGGACTGATGTTTCCTTTCCTGGTACAGTGAGGCAGTTGTGCACCCCACGGAGACAAGGGAGGGCCGACACTCAGGTCAAGTTCATGCCTGCGGCCTCCCACTTTCTGGTCTAAATACTCACCATTCCCATCTGCCCTTCAAAGGAGGCAGCGAAGCACACAAGAACACTATATTTTGTGTGTATGAGGGGAGAGTATATGTACCTGTGCACACGTTTGTGGAGGACAGAGGTCAACATTTGAATGTGCTCATCTACTGCTGTCTACTTTATTTACTTGTCTTGGAAAAGCGGTATCTTACTGGACCTAGAGCTCACCAAGAAATCACTGGCACACGGCTTCTGCTGTGGGCACTGGGAGGCCACACTTGCGTCCCCATGCTTGCACAGCGATCAATTTGCCGCCCGGGCCATTCTCTCACATTCTCACTGCACACATTACCAAGTCCCACTCCTGTGCAACACCCCGAGTTACTGGCCCAGTCAACTACGCTGCTCAGTTAATATGCCCTGACCCACAGGTTCTGGAGCAAGGAAATGTCATCAGCTGTCACCCCTCAATTTAATGAAACGCATTCTCTTGTTAAGTATGTGAATTATAAACTTAAGGAGAAACAAATTTGTTTGAAAACTCCCTGCCTAGCTGTGTAACATGAGCCAGCGTAGAATGTAAAGTCTGCCTGAAAACTGAGAGCAGTTTCCCATCTTGGGTGTGGGTTCATGGCCAGGAGAAGCTGCTTACTGAGGAGAAGGCTGCCACTCAGTGTCACTGACTCCGCCCCTCCCTCTGCGATGGTAAAAGCGCCAGGTGACACTGAGAGGCAGCACGCAGCCTGCACACACACTGTGTAATTATAGCAGAGGCTCAGCACTGGGGAGGAGGGCTTAAGGGGCAGGCCAGCAGCAGAGGGCTGGGGAAGGCACACAGCGACGCTGCCACTTACTGTACAGGTCTGTCTCATCCAAAATTTCAGATTTGATGATTTCTTCAATCACATCTTCCAAGGTGACAATCCCCAGAACTTCATAAAATGGGTCCCCTTCACCTTCGTTGTTCACTCGCTGCACAATGGCCAGGTGAGATTTACCTTTAAAGACAGAAGACAGAGTTGAAGAGGTCATTCTCTGGTTTCCTTAGCAGGCTTCTTAGATGCCTTATTGTGTTTTCTCTTTCTGTGTGTTCTCTCACTGGGCCACACCACCATCCCAGCACCAGCACATGTGTGGGTATATGGACGTGTATGTGTGTAGGTCCAGGTCAAACACTGCTTGTCTTCCTCCATCACTCCTCACATTGAGACAGGGTCTCTAGCTGAAACTAGAGCCCACTGATTCACCAGGTTGGTTGGCCAGTGAGGGCCTCGAATCCTCCTCCTGTCTGCACCTTCCCAGTGCACACACGGCAATAGCTGGCACTCGCTCTCTCTTTCATTTGTGTGTGTATGTAAGAATGATATGTGTATGTATACCTGTTTGCACGTGTGTGGGTGCACATATGTGCATATGTGTGTGTGGAGACCTGAAGTTGACATCTGATAAGCCTCTGGATCACTCTTCTTTTTACTGAGCCAAGGTCTCCCACTAAACCCAGAGCTCACAGAATCTGGCTAGTCTAGATAGCCAGCTTATCCCAGGGTTCCTGTCTCTGCCTCCAGCAGCTACCACAACAGCCCCTTTTAGACAGGCTTTGAGGATCTCAACCATCTTTCTGATTGTGAGGCAAGCACTTTATATACTGAGCCATCTCCCTAGTCCTTGTGCCTCCTTGCTTTTTCACATGGATGCTGGGGATGCAAACTCAGTTCCTAACATCCGTGCACTGAAGCTCTTTGCTGATGGAGCTATCTTCTACAGTGCCCTGGTAGCATCGGGGGGGAGAGGAGGCAGCAAAACTTGATAACAAGTTATTAAAGCCTATGTTCCAGCATTTTTAATGGTGTTGCCAATTCCACAACCAAATGGACAAGGCTTCACGAGTCATTAAGACAGCTGAGGAGTGCTACCATAGGCTGCCCTGTACCTACCAGTTCTCTGCTTCCTAGTGGACATTCAGCACCACCAGCTCTTCCTCTGTGATGCATTAGCAATTCTCTCAAAAGGAGAAGGAACTCTACAGATCTCCAGAGAGGTCCAAGACCCTCCCTTATAAGGTCAACAGCACTTTTCCTCCCAAGGATCAAAACGCTGCTGGCCTTCACTGTGCTGATTCTGGGCCACACAGTGCAAGGATCCCTCACTTTTCGCAGAAAGCCACCATGGAAACAAGCAGTAGTCATCACTACCCACCACCATAAACCACACAAGGGGGGCAGAGCTTGTGACTCTAAGAACGTCTGCACTACAGCAGTACAAAGTAGGTCCTTACTCTGAGTGGGCATCTTTGGATATTCTACTTCACAACCCAAGACGCGCCATAACAGTCTAACATAATAATAGCTCTCTTGAGAGAAAGGCAACTTGGCTTGGTTGTAAGTTGCCTTCAACACACTGTGCACTTTGTTGTGCCAGGGAAGGAAGCCGAGCCTCACGCATGCCCGTGAAGGCTCTACCACCAAACAGGCATCCACGCAGGTCAAGTTGATTTCATTAAACATCACTTTTACTTGCTTAGAACGACTACATGAAGAACACGCTTTAGACATGGGCATCTGGGAGACATTTTCAAGGAAATGAGCAAAGTGAACTTATTTGGTTAAGAAAAACCATGGGCAAAATTTGATCTTAATGATTGAAACACTGTAATTTCAGTAGAAAATTATAATTCTAAAACACTCACATCCATCATCATGACTTTGATACCTTCTTAGTAAAATGCTTTTGTGCACATGTATGTGTATGTGTGTGTGTGTGTGTGTGTACATGCCCATGAATGTGCCACCTGTGGAGGCAAGTGTGTCTCTTCACTGATACTTCCCCCTTCCTGTTTGAGACAAGGTGTCTCATGGAACCTGAAGCTCACCAGTTGGCCAGACTGTGGCTTGTCAGCCCCTAGAGCCACCTGGCTCTGCCTCCCAGGGCTGGCATTACAGGCATGGACTGCCGTGCCCAGCTGTTTACATGAGTGCTGGAGAGCCAAGCTCAGGGCTTCATATTTCGTAGCAAGCATTTCAGCTACCAAACCATATCCTCAGCCCCTCAGTAAATACTTCTTTGATGAGATGGGTAGTGAGAGTTACCTTTAAAATATTGAAAAATCTGGTGCAGCAACTTTTAAAAGAGCTACAAAATTAGGTGAGTCAATTCATTTTAGATTGACTTTTACGTGATGGATGTTTGTCTGCATGTATGTCTGTGTATTACATGTATAGCCCATGAAGGTCAGAAGAGGGTGTTGGAGGCCCTGGGACTGGAGTTGTAAGTCAGCAATGAGGGTGCTAAGAATTGAACCCAGGTCCGTCCTGTGCAAGAGCAGCCACAGTGTTCTTAACTGCTAAGCTGGTTCTCCAGCCCTACTAATTTTTCAACTGACTATGGCAATAATGTGAAAAAATATGCAAGGATAAATAATCTGGAGTACTAGGTAGAAGAATAGACCTTTCAAAAAGTTTTTTTTTTTTTTTAAATTATGTGTACGAGAGCATGTTTGTTGTGGATCTGTGCTTGTAAGTGCAGGTGCCTGTGGAAGCCAGAAGGCATCAGATGCACTAGAGCTAGAGTTGCAGGCAGCCTGTGCAGCCCACCAAGGGCTCTGGGAGCTGGTGTCCTCTGAAGAGCATTATGTGCTCTTAACTACTGAATCATCCATTACCTTTCCAGCCCACAGCAGACTTCTCAAAGCAAACACTAACAGATGAGCAAGGGCTGAGGCAGGAGAATGCCATGAGTTCCGGGCCAGCCTGGGCTACAGAGATTGTTTCAAAAAAGAAAACCAAACAACCCAAGGGCCACAAATGGCCGCCTTGCTGCAGACTTCATAACCTAAGTTTGATCCCTGGATCCCATGGCAGAAAGAGTACTGGCTCCAAAAGTTGCTTTCTGACCTCCACACGTGTTCCTTTACATATACAGACCTGTACTTTCTCCCTGAACACACACACGCAAATAACAAATAAACAAAGTAAAACCAAAAGGAAACAATTTTAGACATACTGAAAAGTCACAAAGCCTCTACAGAGTGCTTACAGGCTCTGCACCAGGTCCCCACTGCTACACCTTGCATCACCGTGAGTCAGACAAACACACTGCCATGCATATATTATGTTTCAACTCCAGACACTGTGTTTGGACTTCACTGGTTTTTCCAAAAACAAAACAAAAACAAAACATTTTTCCCCTGCTCCACTATCCGAACCAAGCACCCAGAGACCAGCCGCACATCTCCCAGTCTCCTCAGCCCTTCTGCAGCTGCTTAATTAGTCTGTGTGTCACAACTTCGTATCAGCCCAGCCTGACGCACTGCTCAGGTCCCTCTCCAGTCACCAACCACATCCCACCTCCAAAGGAAGGAGATGAAGGAGTCGGCACTGCATGGATTGCTTGCAAAGGGGATATTTCTCAAAATTTTTCTGCAAAGATTCCAGGCAAAGGAGTGTTGACAGTTCGGACTGCCCCACACCCACAGGCAGGGTAGACAACCTGAAAGAAGCTTGTACTGTGCAGGATGTGATGGCGTGCGCCTTTGATACGGGTGCTTGGGAGGCGGAGGCAGATGGATCTCTGTGAGTCTGAGGTCAGCTGGTCTACAGAGCAAGTTCTAGCACAGCTAAGGCTAGATAAAAAGATTCTGTCTCAAAAGAAAGGAAACAGAACCTCTCCTGGGCTGGGGAAGTGGCTCAGTGTGTGCCACACTAACATGAGGACCAGAATGTGGATCAAGCCAAGCTCTTGCCTGTCGGCAATGCCAGTGTTGAGGAAGCAGAGGGAGGCAGAGTCCCGAAGTCATTAGCCAACCTGTCTGGCTGAACTGATGAGCTTCAGATACAGTGAGACTGTTCTCAAAAAATAAAAAGGGATTGAAAAGAGAGACCTCAAGGTCTGCCTCTGGCCATCACATGAACAAACATACGCACTTACACTAACAAGCACATACAATGCATCCATACCCCACACACAACAAAAGGACGTTTTGGCATAATATCCTATTTAACAAACCAAAGCGGACCTGGCCTCCAGGTTCTCCCAGCATCCTTCAGTCCTTACAGGGCATGGCTGGCATACCCCGCTCTCTACCCTGAACTCCAGCCCAGGGGCTGGGCTTTCTCTCTCCCCAAGGCTCTTCACTATGGAATCCAGACCTTCTGATTCTCTGTGTGCCTGCTTTCTCTCTGCATGCACCAGCCCCCGACCCTGCTTTTCTTAGCTGCATGGTGACTTCCCTGGCCTTGTACCTTGGGACCAGTGAACCTGCCTGAGAGCTGCCCCCAGTAAACCTGCTTTTATGCTTGAACTGGCTCATTTTGTCGATGGAAAATGCCTCTCACCTATCTGCGAGCCCAGACTTTCTCCATTTACTCCCACAGCCACAGCACTGCAGAATAAAGGTGGACGAGGGAGCATCCAGCCGCCTCTCATTCCGCTGATAACACAGACCAAACCACATATGCACTGACGCTACTCCTAGGTTTTCATTTTGGAAAACAGCTACATTTAATAAAAATGTTACTTATGTTAACACACAATGGATTCATGATTGGCCTTTAAAATGCTTGGATAGGTAAATATGTTTTCAATTTCATGGTTTTAAATTCATATACAGTAAATATCGAAAGTTCTATTTCATATAGACTGAAGTTTAAGGGTCTTTTATCATGGTTTGTGGTGTGTGTTTGTGTGTGTGTGTGTGTGTGTGTGTGTGTGTGTGTGTGTGTGTGTGT